CCTGACTTTAAAGAAAAAGATTTATTTATTATATATACAGGGTTTTGCCTACAATTGCCTGCAGGTCAGAAGAGGGCACCAGATCTCATTATAGATGGTTGTGAGACACCATATTATTGCTGTGAATCAAACTCAGGACCTTTAGAAGAACAGTCAGTGCTCTTAACCTCTGAGCCATCTCTCCAGCCCCTATCCTGGCTTTTTTTTTTAAATCTGATTTTTTTTTATTTATTTGAGCCTGCCCCTTCCCTTTTAAATCTATCACTTTTAGAAAATATAGTGCTATTTTTGTTATAGAACTATCATAGGACTGAGCTTTAAAAATAAAATCAAACTCCTGAATTCATACCCAAAGGACTCAAAGTGCCACACGGATATGTGTACATCCAGGGTCGCTGCACCACAGGTCACAGATGAGCGGGGAGTGAACGTGTGTTCCGTGTACACACTGAAGTTCCAGCCGGCTCTAAAGAAGAGTGAGACAATGGTATCTGGAGGGGAAAGGATGCAACTGGAAACCGTCGTGCTGTGAAATAAGCCACTCAGAAAGGAACTCGGTTCTTTTTCTCATGTGGAGATTCTCGTGTTTCCTCTGCCTGTGAACTCTCTATGTCTGTATATATGTAGGTCATGGAGCTAGAAAATGGAGCACGAGAGGGGAGATAAGATCTGAGGGGCAGGTGTGGCGGGAGAGGGCTAAGGAGTCCATGTGACTGGGGGTGGAAGAACAGGGAGGGGGAGAATGTGGGAAATGGCGATGGACAAGAACAAAGTGTGTATGGACACGCCATGGTAAAGCCAATTCCTTGGCATGCTAATAAAAAATAATAAAAACCTCAGAAAAGAAAACCAATTAAAAATGGTGTTATTTTAAAATCCTCCGACTTTTAACTGGTGTTTTAAACCCGCTCACAGCTTTCCTCATGGAAAGGCCTAGTTTACGCTTTCTCCGTCTTCTGCTCTTCTTTCCTGCGTCACACTGGATCGAGAGGGAAATTTCTACTGGATTGTCTGTATTACCTTGGCAAGGTCATTTATCCGGCAGATGCCCAGAATCGAACATTTCATTTCCTAATTTTCCTTCCTAGCCCTTAGATGTGGTTCTGACCAGAGGAAGGTGAGCAGGGGTGCAGGACTGTGAGGTGGCGCTTCCTAAGAGGACAGCAGAAGCGTGCTTCTCTCCCTTCCTCATCCCTGCCCTAAAGTTGGGAACCAGCGCTTTCACACCTTTATGGAACCTGGAAGACCTGAGTGTGACTATGTCCAGTGGCGGTTTAGAACTGTTTGGAACATGCAGTGATCTTGGATAGTTGCTCTAACTCAACCCAAGAAACTTCTTTAAATTGTTGTTGTTGTTGTTGGGCAAAACACTGACTGCTCTTGCGGAGGACCCAGTTCAATTCCCAGAAACCACATGGCAGTTCACAACCATCTGTAACTCCAGTTCCAAGAGACCCATGCCCTCTTCTGGCTCCTTTGGCACCAAGCACACACATGATACACATACTTACATGCAGGAAAAATATCCATATACATTTTTTAAATAATCAAAAAATTAACTAAAAATTTATATTTATGTTTGTGTGTGTGTGTGTGTGCTATGCATAAGCAGTGCCGACAGAGGCCAGAAGAGGGCGCTGCTGAACCACCTGATGTGGGTGCCAGGCCCTGAAAAGCCCCAACTGCCCTAACTGCTGAGTACCTCTCTAGACACCCCAAGTTTCTTTTACTTAAGGAAATAAACTGCTTTAAGCCACTTTACGTGGGACTTTGTTGTTCTGTGCAGCTGGATCTAGCAGGAACTGGCCATTTCCTGGAGCTGCTTTGTTATTGTAGGCTAGGGCGGAGAGAAGGTGGCAAATAATGTCTCCCCCAGCCTTTCCTGGCTTGTGGCAGCTGGCCTGCTCACTCAGCTCTTCTGACACAGTGGACTTGCTTAAAAGTAGATCTGGAAGTAAACATGGCTGTAGTGGCTTACTCCAGCTCTCAGGAAAGGAGGATGTGGAGAGCATACGGGAGACACAAGAAAAGCAAAAGAGGGGAACTGGGGTTCCCATGACGATCACTGGGGTCCCCATGACGGTCACTGGGATCCCCATGACAATCACTGGGGTCCCCATGATGGTCACTGGGCACAAGATCCCACTGGGACCTCATGAAAAGCATTTGGATCGCTTCTCAGAATTCCTCCTAGAACTGTCCATGAAGAACAGGACTGATCTGCAATAATTCAGCCTCCAGGTTCTCTCCCCACTGGCTGAGTCCTCCAGTGGGTGTAAACTCCATTGTCCTAGAAACAGCAGGCTTTCCCACAGAGCCTTTTCCATGGGTAAAATGCTTAGGAGTTGCTAAAATTCCTTCTCTTGGAGCGATATAAACCATGCTAGTCCTCCTGCAATCCCAACAACAAAGCAAGGCGCAATTCCATCAGTTTACTCTAGGAAGCCAATTAATGTATTAGGCTTGTTTACAGACTGACAGGTGACCTTATAGCGGTCTCCCTGCATGGTGTGCACTGGCATGGATGACACCCCACCCACCCCCAAGCCCCATGGCTGTGTGAATGGAGCCCTTCCCTTGCCTGCATAGATCCTCTGCCTCTCAGAGACTCTGGGACCATTAACAATGAGGGCAGAACTGCATACCACTGTCTGAGAGGCCTGGCTGAGTTCTCAGAGGAGAGCCCTATGACCTTCCTGCTCCCTCCTCGCACAGGTAGCATCGGGAATCACCAAACCCAGCTGTAAAGGCCATTGACCAGCAGGCCGACCAGCCTAACTCCTGAAGATGGGTGCTGTTTAGCTTGAGGCATAGTCCTGTACAGATGAACCCGGGAATGAGGTTAGACACTGTCACCAAGAGCTGAGTTTGCAGGCTGTCATCAGAAGTTGTAGAAGGAGTTTTCCTTGGACCACCAACACGGAGCCTTATTAATTATAAAAGGTCGGCAAATAGCTTAGGCTTCTCCTACTAGCTCTTTTAACTCAAATTAACCCATTTATAGTAATCTATTATTTTTTGTCATGGCTTTTTACCTCTCTTCCATCTTGCACCTCCCTTTTCTTCTCCGTGTCCACCGGCATCTGTCCTGCACCTAGATTCATCTCCCCTTCTCTCTCTGACCAGAAGTCCTGCCTAAACTCTCCCTGCCTAGCTATTGGCCATTCAGCTCTTTATTAAACAATCAGAAGGTGCCTTGGCAAAGCCACATCTACACAGTGTGCAAAAAACTTATTCCACAAGAAATACATCGAAGGACTGTGACCCCAACAGCAGGGTGTTTAGGTTTTAGTGCCTATTTTCTGAGATCAACCTGGTTCTCTTTGTATCTGTGATGTGTTAGCCACTTTCTGTGACAAAATTCCTGGCAAGAACATCTCAAAATGGGCAAGATATATCTTTGCCCACAGTTCCAGGGGCTTTGATCTAAGGTCACATGGTGTCATTGCTGGGGGCCTGTGGTGAAGCAGACCATCGCAGGAGAGAGGCTGTAACAGAGCAGGCCATTGGAAACAGAAACGGCGAGAGAGAGAGAACGTCAGAGCAACAGGGTGGAACCCTGGGGAGGGAGTAGATAAAGTACTATTTTTCCAAGGCACGGCCCTGGTGACCTACTTTGTCCAACTAGGCTCCACCTCGTAATAATGCCACCACAAAGGGACCCAATCAAGGGATTAACCCTCTGAAGAAGTTAGAGCTCTTGTCACCCAGTCACTGAATGGACAAGCAGGGGACCGTTCCTTAAATATGTGAGCCTTTTGGGGGACAGTTTATAGATCAACTATACACGTTAGAGCTGTCAAATTACCTTCAGCAGACCAAGCCTGTAACCAGTACCAAAGTCAATCCGTTACAGTGTGAACTAGCCGCTCGAAATTTGACACTTCTTCCTGGACTTTCATAAAATATATTTTCCTGTCTCAGACAGCTCGTTTTAAAAATAAATTACCTCCCAGCCCTTTCTTAGAAGTGATCCCAAGTTTTTATTTACTTGTCTTTTTTCTTTGGCTATACCACTTGTTGAGCTATCTTTATTCTTGTATCTTGACTATTGACTTCTAGAGATGATTCTTATATCTTTTTTCCAAGCCCAGATCTCTCTTCTTACTTCTCAAGTCAAATTTATTGCCTCAAACCAGACACCTCTCAGAGAAGCGATTACACAACCGACCAGACCTACATACCGCAAACAGCACCCTTTCCTCTCCCTTCTTATTCCCTTCTGTGCGTGTGTATTTATTGCTCATGTGTGGTGCCAGTGAGCATGTGTGTGTACATGGAGGCCAGAGGTCAACCTCAGGAGCTCCTCACTTCGTGTTTACAGGCAGGGTCTCTCATTGGCTCAGAGCTCACGGATTGAACATGGCCTCTTGGCCAGAAGCTCCAGGGTCCTTCTGTCTCCACTTCCTGGTGTTGGGATTGCCAGTGGCTAATCCAGCACGTGACTTATTTCTGTTTGCTGGGGTTTGAACTCAGGTCCCTGAGCTCGTGTGGATGGTGCTTTAGCAACTGGGCTGTCCCCCAAGACTCCACTGTCTATGGTCTCCACATTCGCTGCTTCAATAATGACATTTTCCCTAGCCTCGTCCAAGTCAAAATTTAGCAATAGTTGGCTTCTTGTTCTCATTTATGCTCATATTTTCTGAAACCTGAAAATTGTGGTTGGCCTTACCTTGGTTTTTGAGTTCACCATACTCCTCCTCTCTGACAGGTTACTAACTCCCACGAGTAAGAAACATTAAAATGCCTTTTGTTTCTGCCCTTGCCAAACAAATTTTGCACTGTGCCAGCACACGGTTTCACCTAGAGCTTCTTACAGGGTTTTTTGTGAAAGCCTCGGTCCTTCCTCCAAACCGTTTCCTGTTTCACAGAGCCACCTTCTGTCAACACCGTCAGAGGATGTTGTCCTTAGCTACTTCCTTTCTTTGAAGAAAATGCTTACGGCACTTTTGAAAGATGTGTTTACTTTTAGCTGGATGGCTGTCTTTTTAACCTGCATGTCTGTCTTTTTATCATGTGCGGGTCTGGTGACAAAGGAGGCCAAAAGGGCACTTCAAATTTCTGGGGGGAAAGTTACAGATGGTTGTGGGCCACCGTGTGAGTGCTGGGAATCAAACCTGGGTCCTCTGGAAGGGCAGCCATTTCTCCAGCCCTCGTTTTATTAACTTGTGCTGGTGCAAGCAGGCACCAGCAGAGTCCAGGTGGCATCAGATCTTCCAGAGTGGGAGTTATAGGTTTGTTTGTGAGCCGCCCTGTGAGTGCTGAAAGCAGCCTGGGCTCTCTGCAAAAGCAGTATGTATTCTTAAGCTCCAAGCCGTTTCTTCAGCAGCTGTTAATGTGCTGATGTTTCCCCACTGAGGTGATGAGAATTCAGTGTACACACACACACACACACACACACACACACCATCCCACCACCTATGTGTATCCTTTCATTTTCCTGATACAGTAATGTCATTGCCTTATTGCCTTAACTGGACTGGTGTTCACAGTTTATGTTATAATGGTTTTGTAAATGGTATGTGTATTGGTGCCATGTAGATTATGTGTGTTAGCCCCATGTGAACTGACTGTGTGTATTAGCACCATGTAGACTGACCATGTTATTAGCACCACGTGGAGGGACCATGTGTATTAGTGTCTGGTGGACTACTGTATGTATTAGTGTCATGTAGACTGACTGTGTGTACTAGCAGCATGTCTACTATGTATCAACATAGAATATGTGGGCTGACTTGAGCATCAGTGCCATGTAGACTGACCACCTGCTCATACATCACTATGTAGTTGAACTTTTATTTGGACCGCCAGTTCACAAATAACAATATGGAGGTTTATTACTAATTATGAAAGCTTGGGCGTTAGCATAGGTTTGTCTCACTAGTTCTAATAACTTAACCTGCTTTTATTAATCTATGTTCTTCTACGTGGCTCAGCCACCTCTACCCTGTACCATATATCTGACCTCTTCAGTGCCTCCTTGATGTCTCTGTACTGCCCATTCTGCTTCCTCCTCATCTGGCCGGTGACTCTACACGTCTTCTTCCCAGAGTCCTTTCTGTCCCCGGAAGTCCCGCCTAACCTCTTCCTGCCTAGCTACTGGCCATCCAGCCCTTTATTAAGTCTATGAGAAGGTGCCTTGGCAGAGACACATCTTCACAGTGTAAACAAACATTCTGCAACACAGCATGTTTGGTGTTAACAGGAATCTTCTTGCTCCTGCTGCTGCCACCCCCCCCCCCCCCCGCTACTTAGCTGTTATGGTTTTAATTTATTACTACGCCAATATCAAACTTTCCTATTCTCTAGAAAACCTGCTCAAATATATACATATTCTACTTACCAACTGCATCCCCACACCCTCCAAACTCTTCTGACCATTCCTGTCTCAACTGCTTGGTCATTCACCAGCTGCTGTCATCCTCAGACTCAACAAAAATTTCCTTCACTTTTCCTCACCTCTTTGTCTCACCCGCTCCTGCCCTTTGTTTATTTACTCCCTGAGTTTGGATGGAACACTCTCAGTTTCCCAAGACAGAGCAAAAGTGGAAACAGTGTTCAGCATCTCCTGCATCTGAAATGTCTTCCTTTATTCTCACACGCAGTACAACCTTGTCTTAGTCCATCTTAAGGCTAGAAGTGATTTTGCCTCAGAAACTTGAAGCATTGCCCAGCGCCTTCTTCCTTCCTGTGCTGCTGCTGGGAGCTATCAGGTCGCCGTGACTCTTGAGGCTTTTAAGAACACGTTTTTCTTTCCTCTCATTGGAAGTCTTCACAATCTATCTTCAAACCTAGTGTTCTGAAATTTTACAAGTGTCTGATGGAGTGAGCTTATTTTCATTCATTGTTCTGATATGGAATGGGTGCTCCCAACCTGGAAACTCATGCTTAGAAATTAGCAAGTTATTAACTGAGCTATCTGTTGACTAGTTCTCATTTTATGTGACCACTAGCAGGCTGTCTAATTAAAAACAGTTCTTTCACCCGGCCTTTTGTTGTTATTGTTTTGTCTTTGCTTTTTTTTATGGTAGTGTTAATTTGACACAGCAGAGGGAAGAGAGAACCTCAGTTAAGGAACCATCCCCCATCAGATTAGCCTGTGGGAAATCTTGTAGTGTGTTTTCCTACCTGGTGATTGATGTGGGAAGGCCCAGCTCACCATGGGTGGTACCATTCTGAGCAGGTGATCCTGGGTTCTATAATAAAGCAGGCTGAGCAAGCCATGGGGAGCAAAGCAGTTAAGTAGCACCCACCATAGCCTCTGCATCAGCTCCTGCCACCAGGGTTTTGCCCTGTTCCAGCTGCTGCCGTGGCTTCCCTCAGTAATGGAATGTGACCTCAAGAATTTTAAGATAAAGCAAAGACATTTCTCTCCAAGTTGGTTTTGGTTCGTGTTTTATCACAGCAATAGAAAGCCTATCCAAGACAGACAGGGTCTTGTGTAACCCAGGCTGGCCTAGAATGCTTTATGTTGCCCGAGCTGGCTTTGAATACCTGACCTGGCTTTTCACTGGTCTTTAGGAAACACTTGGGGAAATGTTTCCATCGTTTTTATATTCATTTTTAACTTCTGTGTTTTCCTCTTGGTTTCTAGGCTGTCCTTTGTGCTCTGCCATTGCTGCGTTAGACACAGCAGACCATTCTTTCTATTCAGGCAGAATTGTCTTTTGTTCCTGGAGAGTGGTGGGAACATTTTTCCATATGTTTTAGTCTCCATCTGTTCAATACAAACTCACCTTCTCTGAGTCTCTCCACGTCTCACGTTCTTCTTCAGTCTCTATTATGGATTTTATACACATTCCTCATACTGCTGATGGTGTCATGGTGTCTGATCCATTTAGGAGAGGTCATAAGACTGACTGAGCTCTCTGGGCACATGGCAGGAGCTCAGGGGAATGGACTGGGCTCCCCGTCAGGATCGTCAGGTCTTTCTCGATTCCCATTCTTTCCATCCAGCAGGAGCAGACTGGCTGGTGATCCCAGGAGACAGGGGAGAGCAGGCTGGCTGATGGTCCCAGGAGACGGGAGAGCAGGCTGGCTGGCCATCCTAGGAGACAGGGGAGAGCAGGCTGGCTGACCATCCTAGGAGACAGGGGAGAGCAGGCTGGCTGATGGTCCCAGGAGACAGGAGAGCAGGCTGGCTGATGGTCCCAGGAGACAGGGGAGAGCAGGCTGGCTGGCCGTCCTAGGAGGCAGGGGTGGGGTAGAAATGTGTCCATTCCATTGCCCGTTTCCACTTCATTCTTTTCTCTCCCGCTATCCCAAGATGGCCTTTCTACCCTCTCCTGACATATCATCTTATGCCAGGTCTGCAGAGGGCAGTGAGGGGGTCTACCGGATTCTCAACAAACTTCATCTGTCCCACCACTTAGGATCCTGATTGTGTCATTTGCTCTTTCCGTTGCTGTGACAAACACCACAACTGAGAGCCACTTAGGAAAGAAAGGATTTACTTTATGGTTCCAGAGAGGACAGTCTATCACGGCAGGGAAAACATGGCAGCCCGAGCTTGAGGCCAGTCTAGAAGTCTGGAAGCTGAGCAATCCAATTTCACTTCACCTCCACACAGGGAGCACGGACAGGGAAGTGGAGCCAACTATAAAATCTCAAAGCCAGGCTCCCAGTGTGCACTTCCCCTAGGAAGCCCCGCCTCCTGAAGGTTCTCTAACTCCCCAAGCAGCAGCAGGAGCTGGGGACCAAGTGCTCAAACTTAACTATCCACGGGGACATTTCACATGAAAGCCACTTTCTGTTACTAATTCCTAAACCATGACAAGTTCTTGGGATTAATGCATTGCTTCTATTCGTGGCTTTTTAACTCCTTTTAAACTGTCTTCCAGTTCTTCTAGATCTGCTACCATCTCTTCTACCAACTTCCTTGTCCTTTTGGGTTTACAGAGGAGAAACTTTTTACTCGGTTTAGCAGGATTTGTGAAGCAGATGTTGCTAATGTTTTTATTTCCCATCCACCCAGTGAATCAGAAGTCGCCAAACACTGAAAATTAGCATCATATCTCTCTCTCTCTCAGTTCCATCTTACTTGGGCCTCAGTTTTCCAGGCCTTCTCTGTTTATTTAAGTGTGTGTGCTTCTTCCAAGTACACAGACATGCACGTGCCCTCAGAAGGCAGAAGAGGGTGTCGGATCCCCCGGAACTGGGCTTACAGGAGGTTGAGCCACCTGGTACAGGTGTGAGGAACTGAACTTGGGAACCCTGGAAGAGCACCAAGCATTCTTAGCAAGCATTCTCCAGCCCCAATTCAGTTTTCAAAAAGGACTAAATTTATGACTTGCCTTCAGCAAACAGAATAAATACATAAGGTCCCATCTGAGGAATTTCAGGCAACCATGGTGTTTTTATGGGTAAGGACGGCTTCTTCCTGAGCTTTCTCAGATCAACTGTTGAGGTGCGTCCAACTGCACCCACGCATTCAGCACGCTGTACATTAGTGTTACTCCAAGCACGCCAGGATGAGAATAGCAACCATAACCACTGGTTCAGTGACCGTTCTGATTAACTCGTGCATCTCAGAAATTAGGTAGCAGGTAGATAAGTCATTGAGTATTGGTATTAACCCAGAGCCAAATATATATTTTATTGTGTTTATAATAAGTATGCAAAGTTAAATATCCGTCGTACACAACCCACAATCTGTTTAAACATACCTCGTCACACAGTTGTGGTTGTTAGGCATTATAAAAATACAAAATGCCATATTAGGCCAGGAAGCTTATTATAGTTAATAAAGTATTATGAATAATAACAATAACAAACATTATGCGCTCTAGATTGGAGCAGGAACAAGGAGCCTGAATTTGCAAAGGAACACATTTCAATATTCAGCAAATATAGAGGATATTGTCAGCATTTTAGTTTACAGAAAATGAGGTCGTGTTTGCCGCCCTTTGAGCACAGCAAAAGTATACACAACCCAAGAAAGGAAACGAAGAAGACTCAAGTCTCCCCTTACCTTATACCTTGGTTTCCCATCCTCTACATGGTTACTAATAGTATGATGACGGAAGCCTGTGAAAATCCGTGTACCCCACGCCCTAGAGTGGCAGAGTCGGACCCCAACAGGCACCCAGCTCCAGGGCCCGGCTTCTTAAACCGGCTATGAGCGGTGCTGACCTTTTCTGCCCTTTCTGTCCTCTGTTCAAGGAATTCTACTATAAATAGGTGTTTTCACCCAAGGTTATGAGAAATCGACTCCTCTAATCCAGAACGTACTGATCGATCCTCTCGGTGAAATGCTAACATCAGCTTAAAGCAAAAGTTCACCAAGATTTTTCAGAAGTTCTATCAACCAAATTAAAATTGTCCAGTCGAAATCAGTGTTTCCTCTAGGATCCAATACGGATGCAGTGTTTTAGGAAGCCTCCAGCTCAGTGCTTATCACACTCCACTCATCGGTCTGAGGCATCTTAAAGATTCCTTTCTTTTCCAGGAACACATTGAAACGTTGCAAGGCACTACCCTGAGTTATTTAACCGAACCCTCGTCCCACGTGTCCACTCGGAACTTCCGGTTTTGATAAGACGATGCTATTTTACAGTCCAGCAGACTCACCCCCACCCCCCACCCCCGCCTCTGCTGCGCTCGAGTTCCTAGCACGCGGGCCCACCGGTCGTTTTGGCGTTAGGGATGCCGGTATTTCCCTAGCGGCCTTCCCGACTTGTCCCCGCCCCCGTACGGTGCACACGTAAGCACCATGTCAACGTGTCATTGCGAAACCCCCACCCTGCGCCGCTCACCGAAAGACGAGCGCGAGCAGCTCCCGGTGCACCGCGCCGGCCCCGCCCTCCCCGCCGCCGCCTCTGCGC